AAAAAAAATAAAAGTGCTTTTGGGGAAATTGCAGTTCCAATTAGACCCATAGGCCATCATCCCAGCAAACTCATGGCCAACCATTTGAACATTGTGTCACTAGGGACATGTTTGCCATTTTGAGTAAGTGGTGCTAAGTGACTGCTCTTCAACTGCAGGTCACTATGACTTTTTGTATGAGAAATTGATGGGTTGCTAACATTGGCTGAAACAGATAAATGCTGACCTCATGTACAGCTCTGTTCAGTGTTTTTAAAACTTTTAACTTTCAGAATAATTTTCCATAGACTTCCTCAGGATATAATATATATTTTTCTAAGCTGAATAGGAATATGATGCAGGAAAAAGAGGAAGTCTATGCTAAGATGAGGAGAGAGAAGAATGACTCTATTTGAGAACTTAAGAGTAAATTTAAAATTACTTCAGTTAATTCAATCCCAAAAATTTATAATTCTAACCCTCCTGAAAAAGATTTTTATATTTATTTTATTTTTTTTACTAAGAGAGTGAAAACAATAAAATGACAGATGGGCCTCTTTTCAGTATCCCACGGTTATTTCCTCCTAAATATGCTCACACTAAATTCTACCCTTCATTCTAGAGATTGCTCAAGATTAATTTCCTCAATAAATTCTTCTATGACTGGCTCAGTTTTTAGGGATCTGTCTTTCTTCTGAGTGCCAACAATGAGCATAATCTGCTACACATAATTGGCACATCTAGACTTAGCCTGTATTGCTTTTTTTTCTGATCATTTTGTTTTCAAGCTTGCTTTCTAATTATATTAATTTTTTTCTCTTCAACTGAGGCTGATCTCCCTAAAGACACAACAGCAACTAACTCTAGCTAGGCATATGATTGTAATTTGCAATGTATTTAATGCATTGACAAGAAACTTAATTCAGCTAGTAGAGAGTTCACTGACTGAATTATTTGAAGAAAATCCTCTGGCTGGTGTACTTATTTGGCTGGTAACCTCTTTCATTGGTTCTTCATGTGTTGTCAATTTTAAGCAAATCTTTAGGTGTCAGGCACCATGTGTGGCCCTGGGGATGTGACAGTGTACAAGACACAACCCCTTACTCCAAGGACTCTTTAGTCTGGAGGGAAAGACAAACAGATAAAGAGGCAATTCATAGAGTGTGGTGATGTTTAACACAGAGTATTATGGGAACACAGCAGAGACCTGTTCTGGAATTCAGGAGAAGCTCTGGAGAAAATGACATTTGAGCTAGCTGAGACCTGAAGGTTGAATAGGGGGTTAGAAGGTTAAGAAGATCATTGTAGCAGAGTGAAGAGTATGTGCAGAAATATGAAGTTTGGACAGACTCTTTGTGTGTGTGTTTTATTTTTAGTATTTGGAAGTAGGTCTGCATGGCTGGAACTTAGAGTGAGAGAATAAAAGTGTTAAAAGCTGGAGAAGTTGGCAAGACCTCGTATGTTGTACTAATGCTGGATTTTAGCTTGAATGTATGAAGACTAATTTGAACTGTCTTCAGCAAGAAAGATAGCACCACGATCCTATTAGGGAAAGAACATTCTAGATGAATTGTGAATATAATGAAGGAGGACAGGAATAGATGTAGGGAGAGCAATTAGGAGACAGAAAATTACTGTATTTCATTAATTTTAAGACATACTTTTCCACATTTTATTATCTCTGAAGTCTGGATTCACTCACCATTAGTGTCTTGTTGTAGATTAACAGGAAGTTTTTATTTTCTTTCCCAGTGATCCAAAAAAGAATAGTGCTGTTTACACACCATGGTAGCTTAGATTCAGTAAACAAGGTGAGGAATGATTGTTGTCTTATCTAAAATACTACTGGAGTAGTTGGAGAAGTGGATGTAAAATCAGGTTTATTTTAAAGGTCAGATTGTCAGATTGGCATTTGGGAACCTGAGGTTGGGGAAAAAGCTAATGGTCTATTTTTATCTTTTTTTTTTTCATTTGGGAAGTTTGTTTCATGCATTGAGATAAGAAACTCGATAGGGATTGTGGGGTGAGGACAGTAAGGTATGGGACAGGGAAGATAAAGTAGAGCTATGCACATAGTGAGTGTGAGGGTTCTGGGACCATCCAGTTCGAGTGCTCCACCTTTGTTAATGAAAGGAGCCAGAATGTTTCTTAACAGCATATCCATTAAATAACCACACTTACCCTGGGCTTTCAAGGAAGTAGTCTCCTTTCAAAGGGTATGTTCTGTGAGGTCATTCCAGAAATATCAACGGCATTAACTTTGACATTGGAGCCTCTATCTATGCATGTCTGGTAGAATTCCCTTAAGAAAGGTCTGACTTTTCTCTTTCCTGGATTCATCCCATCTTCTAGCTTGTGTTTATTTTCAGAATAAGCTCATCATCTCATAGAAAAGTCCAATGTACACTCATCCTCACTTTGAGTACTTCATGCCATTCCTTCTGGCCTGCAGAGTTTCTGATAAGAAATCGGTGTCAGCCTTATTGGAGCCCTTTTGTAGATAACAGCTTGGTTTTCTCTTACTGCCTTTAAGATTCTCTCGTCTTTTATTTTTGGTATTTTAATTATGATGTGTCTGGGTGTGGGCCTTTTTGTGTTTCTTGCTTGAGGTTCTCTATGCCTCCTGGACTTGTGTGACTTTTTCCTTTACTATGTTAGGGAATTTTCTGCCATTATTTCTTCAAACACTTTCTCTATACCTTACTCCATTTCTGCCTCTTCTGGCACTCTTGCTATTCTAATATTGTTACGTTTCACGTTGTCCCACAACTCCTTTAAGCTGTCCTCCTATTTTTTTTCTTTGTTTTTTTCTTTTTGGTTCTCTGATTGAGTGATTTTTTCAACACTGTCTTCTAATTCACTGATTCAATCCTCAGATTCCCCTAATCTGCTGTGTATTCCTTGCAATGTGTTCTTTATTTTTGCTATGTAATTTTTTATTTCTTTTTTCATAGTTAACTATACCTTTTCTCATGCTGTTGAGCATCTTTACCATCATTATTCTGAAGTCTGTATCAGATATATTTCTTATCTCCATTTCATTTATCTCTTCTTCTGGGGAATTCTCTTGTTCTTTCATTTGTGGGTTGTTTCTTTGTCTCCTCATTTTTGCTGCCTTTTTGGGTTTGTGACTATGTATTAGGGAGATCTGCTACATCTCAATCTCTAGTGCAGGGCAGTGTCAAATCCTAATTAGACTGGGAAATACTCAATTAGATCAGGGAAATACTCAAAGCCTCCAGAGACTGCCTCTGCCTACAGACTGATAGGATTCCATCTTGAATAGCCCTCAGGCAATCATTCTTAGGTGTGGTGATAGTTTTTCACAGAGTGGGGCAATTGCTTCTGTGTGGAAGCTAACTGTTATTCTCAGTCTATTAATGGATCTCAGAAATTCCACCCGGTGGGGCAAGGTGTTTTCCAACAGGGTGGTCATCAGCTGTCTTTCCCCAAGGCAAAGCCACCTATATAGCCAATGTCTGCATGAACGAATGAGTCAGCACAGGAGACTAAGGTTTCTGCCTTCTGAGATCTAACCCCAAAGCCCCCAATCCTGGCTTCTGCTCACATAACTCCAGTCCACTCTGCCCTCCCTCTGCCAGAGCACAAGGTGATTGGCTCCACAGGGAATTTTGTGTGTTGGCACTTTATGAGGATGCCTGAATTTCCAGCTGTCTCTCCCTGGAAAACAGCAACCCCACTGCTTTTTACAGCCATCTGTTATGTGTGTACTCTTCTCAGTTCTGGTGCTCTCTGCTGGGGGTCCCAGCTTGGGGATTAGACCCCAGAGTTCTCAGTGGCAATCCCTCACAGCTGAGATATCTTTCCTGAACTTCAGTTGTTATCTGTGGGAGCCCACCAGCTCACCAGTGCCTCCTCCCCTCCTACCAATCTCTATTCGGTTTCCTCTTTTCATCCTCAGGATCAGGGTTCTGTTCATCAAGTCTTCTGTTGATTATTCAGGAAGTTTTTCTGTATTTTACTTGTAATTACAGTTTGTTCCTGTGTGTATGTCTGTGCAGCATCGACTTACTCCTCACTCATAGTTTCCATTTTTCAGTGTTTTAAGATTTTTTTTATTTGGTAAAAATAATTAAAATGAGCAACCAGTGGTTGGTTTAGCCATGTTCTTATTTTGTCTTATTTTCTCTAGGTAGCAGTAAAATTGCTGGACTTATTTCTTTTATTCTTTTGATGAAATTTTAATTTTAAGGGTAAAATTCAGTTTCTTTTAATTCAGAGGAGTAATATTGGTCTCTTTTAAAAAGTATTACATGTCAATGAGACATTGTTTGGCTGCATTTCTGAAACTCAGAGGAAGACTCAACCAAGGGAAAAATGATCCTGCTGTCTGTGTTTTTAATAGACAGTTTTTGTTGGCAAACTTAATGCTTATGTTCTAAGGCCAAGGGGAACAATCCTATTTTAGACTTCCTTTCTCCAGACGCTGACACACAAAAGCTAGCCAGAAAATGGCTTAGCAGGTACTGTAATGACTAGCTAAAGTAAAGGAAAAATTACCAAAATGTCCTAGATATAACATTCCTTTGAAATGTTTATAGTCGGTGACAAATCCAGCATTTGATTGTGTTAACATCTCTGGTACAGACAGGAAAACAACTGTAGTAGAGATTTTCTGTTTCAGAAACAGTGAATACTGTATAAAGGATCCAAGAAGAGCATTTTAGAAGGCCAGAAAGAGCATTCTTTTCTCTAGTCTATTCTTTTCCTAGTAACTGAAACATATTAGTTGCCCCTCTTGTATAAGTTAATTTTGGGGCTTTTTTATTGAAAGAATCTTTGATTTGCAATTGATATTAAAACTCACTCTATTGCAATTTACATATAAAACAAAAGAGTCTCAATAACTCATATTTCTCTCATGATGAACTGTGATGTTCCAGCCTAAGGATTTTACCTAATGGGTTCTATACCTGTGTATTTGGTCAATAGAATTAACATACACATGAGTTTTGGTCTTTGACTACTAAATTCTATATTCTCTCTCTGTTGTATTGCAGGATTTATTGGTTATGCTCCATATATCAACCGTATAGTTCAACAGTGGAACCTTCAGGATAATGATGATGATCAGCTATTTTATACTAAAATTTACATTGATCCACTGAAGAGGGTATGTAATAGCTCCTGCTCCCATTTTCAATGTAACCCCCTTGTCCAGGAAGGCTGCTGGAGCTTCCCGGCAGTTAGCAGGCAGAAGAGTAAATAAGGGACCATCTCAGTTTTGTCAACTCCCTTCTCACAAAATACTTTCTTGTATTTTTTCTTTGACTGCAACATATTTGTGTGGCTACATATAATATGCAAAGGAAATGCTGTCTTTTATTTGTAGTATATGTATCTTGCTAGAAATCTGAATTCTGTAATTAAGGGGGGAGGGGAGTGATGTTGGGGCAAATAGCAGTCCTGAGATTGATTTAAATGAAACTGTGGAGAAAAGTATAACCAAAGCTCAAATTTAACAATATTTTAAATATATTTACCTAATATAACTGTTACAGTTCTAGAATTTACTGAATTGTGTATTCATGGGTGTTGTCATTATGAAACAAGATTTTCTTAAAAGTACATTTTACAGTGAATTTGCAGCTATATTGTTTCTGTTTCTTAGATAAGTACTTTAGTGACCTAAATATTTTCATTAGACACTTAATACTTAAGAAACTCCATTCTTAAGCTATTTTTCTTCATCTCTATATTTTACTTTCCCTCTGTGTGCCTGCCACGGCAAGCCTGAGGGATTTGGCCTCTCATCTGGAGAGAAACCTCCTCTTAATGTGGGTGCAGCATGCTGCTCATCTTTTCTTGTAGTTCAACTAGGAAAGTGCTTTGAGTCTTATTTAGTTGTCTTTGCTTAGGGTTCTTCCTCACTGTTGTGTTTGTAATATTTTTGGTTGTCTAAATCCTGTTTAAATTTCTCTCTAAGCATAAGAGTATGCTTAGTATACGTCTTAGTCTTCTTGGATTGTCATAACCAAATACCATAGACTAGATGGTTTTTTAAACAATAGAAAAAATTGTTTTCAAAGAGTCTAGAAGTCTGAGATAAGGTTGCTAACATGGTCAGTTTCTGATGAAAACTCTCTTCCTCACTTGGTCCTCACATGGGATAGATAGAGGAAGAAAGAGACAGACAGAGGGAGAAGGAAAGGGAGAGGGAGGGCAAGCACAGGTGTGTAAACACTAATTTCTTCTCATAAGGGCAAAATTTACATCATGAGGGACCCCCTCTTATAACCTGAACTTAACCCTCTTTGCGGTTAGAGCTTCAACATAGAAATTTTGAGGGAGCACAAAGTTTCAATCCACAATAGCATGCACAATACTTTTAGGAATATTATTGTGAAGAGCAATGTAGCTGAAAAACTGCATTGAGAATCATAAGGGTTTTTTAAAATATATTTTTATTGATTTCAGAGAGGGAGAGGAAGAGAGAGATAGAAACATCAGTGATGAGAGAGCATCATTGATTGGTTGCTTCCTGCACACCCTACACTGGGGGGGTCAAACCAGCAACTCCGGAATTGAACCCCAACCTCCTGGTTCATAGGTTAACGCTCAAACACTGAGCCACACTGGGCTGAGCGAGAATCATAAGGTTTGTAAAGCAGATTAATTGCCAGCCTGTTGGCAATCAGGCCGTTTATGCTGCAATAATAACCCCCAAGCTCAACAGCTTAACAGGGGTTCCTGCTTATTGTAGTCACTTGGTAGAGGGGAGTGGGGCCCTAGCTGATAAAGCAGCTATCTCCAACCTTGCTGGTTCATGTGCCAGAGAGAAGTAGCACACTTAGGGTCTCCAACTGGCAATGACATCTCCAGATGGGAAGTGATTCATTTTACTTCTGCTAACAATTCACTGGTCAGAATTAGTCAGAAGGTGGAGATGTGGAAATACTTGGAAAACAGCATGAATGCTTTCCCATACATTCTATCCTCTAATTTAATCAATAGTAAAATTATAATCTTTCTGAAAAATATTGCTGGAATAATTTACATACGGAATTTAATTTTTTTAAAGAACAAACTATATTAACATATAGTGTTTGTTGTTCCATTGTCGTTTTTAATATTATCTCTGTTCTTATTTTAGGAAGCTCTTAACATCACATTGGATCACAAATGCAAAATTTTTCAGACTTTAAATGGAGCTGTAGGTATGCTTCCAATATAATGAATTGCTCGTGGATACAAATGGACATCTGTGTGTTCAACTGCTGCTGTTTGGTATATCCATTTTGGGGCTATGACTAAGGTTTACTGTGTAGATATTGCAACTATTAAAATATACTGGACTTGAGCTTATTGATGCAGTAAATACATTCAGTTCAAATCACTGCCTCAGAGTGATGCAAAAAAAGATAAGCTTCTTGCCTTAGGTAACATAGAATTTAGTATCTCACCATCTGGGACTATAGATGTAGTTTTAAATTAATTATACCTACTGTTATACATTTTTCATTATAAGTTCCCTGTATTGAGAATCACTCAGGAATAGTAGAGTATAAGAGTATTTTTTATCTAGCTGAAAGGTACCTGATAACTGGGCACATTCATTGTGGAGTGTGTGTGTGTGGTGTGCTTTCCTAAATAGACATATATCTTGATGAAATACATTAATGCATTAAAATTAATTAATCAATACATTAAATATCAACATACATTAATTCATTAATAAATTATACTTAAAATTTAAAAATACTTTGCAATTCAATATGATTCTTCAAGGCAGTACATAGAGTAACAGGTTTCTCAGAATGGAAAGAATTTAGTTTGGAGTGCTCAGGAAGTGAGGGAAGGAATCTGAAAACAAATAAAAATACCTCTCTGCTCCCATATGACTTGTATATTACTGGAATTACATTAAGCCTGACTTTTTCTTTTCCTTTGTGTTGAATTTATTGGGATGACACTGATTAACAAATTATATAGGTTCAGGTGCATAATTCTATGACACATCATCTGTATACTGCATTGTGTGTTCACTGCTCCCCCTGCCCCCCAAGTCAAGTCTCTTTCCATCACCATTTATCCCCTCTTTACCCTCCTCCACCTCCCCCCTGTCCGGTAATCACCACACTGTTCTTCATGTCTGTGAGTTTTTTTCTCTCTCTTTTTTGTCTTTTATTTGTTCAATCTTTCCACCCCGCCTACACCTCAGACAGCTGTCAGCTTGCTCTCTATCTACGAGTTTGTCTCTATTTTGCTTATTTAGCTCATTTTGTTCATTAGATTCCACGTATGAATGAAATCATATGGTACTTGCCTTTTTCTGACTGGCTTATTTCACTTAGCATGGTACTCTCCAAGTCCCTCCATGCTGTCTCAAAGGGTAAGAGATCCTTCTTTTCTACAGCCACATAGTATTCCATGGTATAAATATACCAGAGGTTTTTTATCCACTCATCCATTGATGGACACTTAGGCTGCTTCCAAATCTTGACTCTTGAACTCTGCAGTGAACATAGGGGTGCATATATTCTTTCAAATTGGTGTTTTGGGTTTCTTTGAATTTATTCCCAGACGTGGAATTGCTGGGTCATAAGGCAGTTGCAATTTTAATTTTTTGAGGTAACTCCATAATGCTTTCCACAGTAAACCTGATTTTCAAGAACTGGAAATACTATCAGTCATGGCCAAGTGTAGAAACCTTGCTTATTGTGCCAGTCAGTGTTCTATTTGCCTTACATATATTGTTATTACCTTTATAATAACCTTGAAAGGCAGGCAAGGATCCCATTTTACAGATGAATAAATTGTGACAATAATTTAACTCTTCTAAGATCACATTACTATCAGGAGGCGGAGGCAGGATTGCAAAGATGCTTTCCTTCCACCAGACACTTCAGTGGCTCAGCACCTCAGTCTGCTGGTGCCAGGTTGGAGTATGTGAGGTACTCAGAATCTCATTCTTTGTCATTTGGGTATCTGTTGACTTGGAGTAGGCCAAGTTACTACAAGTGTAGTAGCACATGATAGCATGCATGAGCAAATTTATAACAATAAGAAAAAATATATATGTGTATATATATATACACACATATGTATATATGAATATACATGCACATTTTAAATTACTAAAACCTGTTTTTCTTTTTAACTCAGATGAAGTTGTTCTGAAATTTGAAAATGGCAAAGCCAGAGCTAAGAATGTATTTTATGAAACATTACCAGTGGCAATTAATGGAAATGGACCCACCAAGGTGAGTCACAGTGACTTTTCCCTATTTTCTTATTTTTTGGAGATAGACTATGGAGCAATATGTAGAACAGCTTCTTTTTTTAATATCTTTAAGAGGCTTTATTTTGGTGCCAACAATTTAATGGCTTTATCTTTTACACAGTATATTGTCTGATTTCATCTAGATTAGCTGATGACTTTTTCTCAGCAGAGTGATAATTTTTTATGCTATTTAAAACACATTTCACTTTAGTGTTTAATAATAACAGCTAACTGGAGAGTGAGCCATGTTTCCTTCATATAGGGCAGTGGTTCTCAACCTTGGCTGCACATTAGAATCACCTGGGAATCTTTTTAAAATCCTGATTTCTGGGCCTCATCCTCTGGAAATTCTGTTTCTTTGTTATGGGGTGGGGCCACAATATTAGTAACAAAGAAACAGAATTTCCGGAGGATGAAGCCCAGAAATCAGGATTTTAAAAAGATTCCCAGGTGATTCTAATGTGCAGCCAAGGTTGAGAAACACTGATATAGGGTATCCTCTCTTAATAGGAATAATTGAGGTTGTTAAGGGATCATTTGTTTCACCTGTGTCACCATTTTTTAAAGTAACAACTCTGCTAAGATTGAGGTGTAATTACATGCCCAGAATGCTTCCTTTTGTACTTATTTTCAACATGGGTTATAGTTGACAAACACAACTTGACTAATGAAATTTTGGATGCTTTTCAAGTGTATATAATTGAGCTTGCTGAAAATGTAATTGACTGCAAATGTATAGGTTAGTTGGTAAAGTTCATATTGCTGGTATCCAGTTAAAATGGAACATGATTGTGTGTGTGTGTGTGTGTGTGTGTGCGCGCGCTTAAAACCATGTTCTGAGATACTGAGTTGGCTGGTTTACTCATAAGTATATGAAAAGAGATTACAAATAGATTTGCTTTGTGGGAAGACCAAGATGGGGAAATGTGTGCTGTTTCAGAAAAGTGAGTAGTCAGAATTCCAGTAAAAGCTATATGCATAGGAAGAAATTCAAGGGAAAACCCACTTTGGCAGTGTTTCCAACATCAAAATGGAAGTAGACTCCCCTTCTCTCCTAGTTAATCTTTCTGCCTTGCTTTCTGTCCTGTTCCAGTTCTCCTATAAAGCTGGCTTTCCCATGTGTTCTCCTTTCTCTATCGCAGGGGTCCTCAAACTTTTTAAACAGGGGGCCAGTTCACTGTCCCTCAGACCGTTGGAGGGCCGGACTATAGTTTAAAAAAAAAAAAACTTATGAACAAATTCCTATGCACACTGCACATATCTTATTTTGAAGTAAAAAAACAAAACGGGAATACAATATTTGTATTTGCATGTGGCCTGCGGGCCGTAGTTTGAGGACCCCTGCTCTATCATGTATCAATTTCCCCAGGTGCATTATCCTTCTTATTAGCATTTTAAAGACCCTCAAATATTTCCCATCCTCTAAACAAAACAAAACTGAGCCAACACAAACTATAATATCCCCCTCAATCCACATTGCCTTCCAGCCTTCCTATCTTTTCTCCTCCACATCACAACCAGGCTGCTTCTTTAAAGTGGAGACAACTCACAGCTACCATGCACCTTCCCACCCACCAGGAAATGAGCCTCCAGGTCCTGTGGGTTGTTATATCCTTGATGAATAGAAAACACTTGTCAGCCCTCATTTTTAATTCACCCAAAGATAGCTTTCGACAGTGTTTATCTCATTTGGTCCTACTTGAAATATTCTTTCCCTTTGTTTCCATGATGCTCTGCTGATCTGTCTACTAATTTTCTAGTTTTTCCTCTTCAATCTTTCTCTTTTCTTGCTTTACTATATATTTTTAAAATATTTTCTTTTTTATGTGGAGGGCGATGGGTTTGGGTGAATGGTCCTCTGCCTATACTGTTTTAGTTAAGAGTTCCACAGTATCTATCTGAGACATCTTCCTTTTCTCTTCTGCACACATTTTTGGGTAATTTGCTTCACTCCCACATCAGCAAATCTTCTCTCAAGGCTGATGATTTGCAGATCCTGCCACTAACTCCTGGTATCTTTCCTGAACTCCAGGTCTGAATACCCAGTTGGTAGATTTCCTTGTGTGTCATATGAGACCCAGAGCTCAGCACCTTAAGCTCTGCCTCCTCTTCCATCCAATTGGTTAACCAGAACCTGGGTTTTATTTTAGTGGTAGTTGCTTCCCTCTCCCAATCCAAGTGCTATTCTTTCTAACTGCTATGTATGGTGGTTGATCTAATTTTCTTAGTGCCAATGGCAACTTCCTTAGTTCAGTCCACCTGCAACCTCCCACCAGTAACTATCACCCACCAGTACAGTAGTAGCCTAACCATGGTCGGCAAACTGCGGCTCGCGAGCCACATGCGGATCTTTGACCCCTTGAGTGTGGCTCTTCCTAAGCCTTAGGAGTACCCTAATTAAGTTAATAACAATGTACCTACTTATATAGTTTAAGTTTAAAAAATTTGGCTCTCAAAAGAAATTTCAATCGTTGTGCTATTGATATTTGGCTCTGTTGACTAATGAGTTTGCCGACCACTGGTAGAACACGAGTTTTTGGCTGAAGTAGAAGCCAATCACTTTACTCACCTGTGCAGCACCCTCCATGGATTTAGGTAAAGTTCCTAATTCTCAACTTATCTCATAAGGCTCTTTTAAAACTTTGCTCCTGTTTAGTGATCACTCATCTACTATCCCATACCCAACTCCCAGCACAATATATATTCACACACACATTTTTCATAAACAATCATTCTTTTTCTCAGCTCCTGCCATACTGAATTACTTTGAACTTCACAAAATTTTCATGTTTTTTTTTTCTTTCTGTAAGTCTTTCGTACATGCGATGGTAAGTTCACTATTGGTGTACAGAAATGCCATAGATTTCTTGGCATTAATTTAGTATCTTGCTACATTACCGAATTCATTTATTAAGTCTAATAATTTTTTGATGGAGTCTTTAGGGTTTTCTATGTACAGTATCATGTCATCTGCCAATAAGGACAGTTTTACTTCTTCTTTTCCAATTTGGATGCCTTTTATTTCTTTTTCTTGTCTGATCACAATGGTTAGTACTTCTAGTACTATGTCGAACAGGAGGGGTGAGAGTGGGCATCCCTGTCTTGTTCCTGTTCTTAGGGGAAGTGCTTTTAGTTTTTGCCCATTGAGTATGATGTTGGCTGTAGTTTTGTCATATATGGCTTTTATTATGTTGAGATATGATCCTTCTCTTCCCACCTTGCTGAGAGTCTTTATCAAGAAAGGGTGTTGGATTTTGTCAGATGCTTTTTCTGCATCAATTGCTATGACTATGTGATTTTTATCTCTCAATTTGTTTATGTGATGTTTCACGTTTATTGATTTGTGGATAATGTACTATTTTTGCTTCCCCGGGATAAATCCTACTAGGTCATCTTTTTGATGTAATACTGGATCTGATTTGCTGGAACTGTGTTGAGGATTTTGGCATCTATGTTCATGAGGGATATTGGCCTGCAATTCTCTTTCATTGTGTTGTCTTTATCTAGTTTTGGTAATAGGGTATTGCTGTCTTCATAGAATGAGCTGGGAAGTGTTCTTTCCTCTTGAATTTTTTTTAGTAGTCTGAGGAGTATAGGTTTTAGTTCTTCCTTTAATTTTTGGTCAAACTTCCCTATGAAGCTGTCTGGCCCTGGGCTTTTGTTTGCTAGAAGCTTTTTGATGACTGCTTCAATTTCTTCCATAGTTATCAGCCTATTGATATTTTTAGATTCTTCCTGATTGAGTTTTGGAAGATTGTATTTTTCTAGGAATATGTCCATTTCCTCCAGGTTTTCTATTTTGTTGGACTAGAGTTGTTCATACTAGTTTTAACAATCCTTTGTATTTCTGTGGTGTCTGTTGTTATTTCACCTCTTTCATTTCTGATTTTGTTTATTTGGGTCCTCTCTCTTTTCTTCTTGGTGAGCCTGGCTAGAGGTTCATCAGTCTTGTTTATCCTTTCAAAGAAACAGCTCTTGGTTTCATTGATCTTTGTTGTTGTTGTTGTTGTTCTATGTCATTTATTTCTGCTCTAATCTTTATTATCTCCTTCCAACTGCTCACTCTGGGCTTTTCATGTTGTTCTCTTTCTAATTCTTTAAGTGGTAGAGTTAGATGATTTACTACCATTTTTTCTTGTTGTTTTTTTTTAAGGTAGGCCTGTAGAGCTATTAGCTTCCCACTCAGGACTGCTTTCATTGTGTCCCATAAACTTTGGATTTGGTGTTTTCATTGTCATTCATTTCCAGGAAGTTTTTAATTTCTTCTTTGATCTCCTTGATAACCCAATAATTGTTTAATAGCATGCTATTCAGCTTCCAAGTGTTTGAATTTTTGTGATTGTTTTTATTGTAGTTGATTTCTAATATTATGCCATTGTGGTCTGAGAAGATGCTTGATATGATTTCAATCTTCTTAAATTTGGAGAGACTTTGCTTGTGACCCAATATGTGGTCTATTTTTGAAAATGTCCCATGTGCACTTGAGAAGAACATATATTCCGTGGCTTTGGGGTGAAATGTTCTGAAGATGTCAATTAAGTCCATCTGATCTAGTGATACATTTAGAATGGCTGTTTCTTTGCTGATTTTTTGTCTAGAGAATTTATCCAGTGATTTCAGTGGGGTATTAAAGTTCCCTACTATGATTGTATTGTTGTCAATCTCTCCCTTGATGTCTTCCAGGAGTTGTTTTTTTGTTTGTTTGTTTGTTTTTATGTATTTGGGTACTCCTGCATTGGGTGTATATATGTTTATCAGGGTTATATCCTCTTATTGTATCAATCCCTTTAGTATTATGAAGTGGCCTTCCTTATCTCTTGTTATGGCCTTCACTTTGAGGTGTATTTTATCAGATATAAATATTGCTACCCCAGCTTTTTTTCCATTTCCATTTGCCTGAAAGATATTTTTCCATACCTTCACTTTCTGTCTGTGTGAGTCTCATGTTCTAAGGTGTGTCTCTTGTAGACAGCATATATA